AAAAGTCAACTGGTTTCAGATTGTGTTACATACTTGAAAACGCACACCAGCTTCGCTGACTGAGGGCCAGGCCCATAGTGTCCGAGCCCCTCACAGACAATGGGACTCTCCTCCCTTCTTCTCCTTGTGGGGGGACTAGTACCCCCGTTTTACAGACAGAGAATGAAGGTGATGAAGTGACCTCTCCAAGGTCACACCTAGCAATGTGGGGGAGAGCTGGGAACTGGAGTGGGTTCTACAGGAGTGCCCCCTCCCCAAGGGCAGCTTCACTTTCTGCCCTTCGTCCTCTCCTCCCCTCTTGGCCTGACTTTGAAGGGGGCTCTGACAGGGAAATGAGCAGGGGTTTCCTCCCCCCTCTGTCTTCCAGGTTCTGGGATCTGTCCATGTTGCCTACAGCAATGCAGCTGCAGCTGTCCCGGCTTGGGGAGCCATAACCTCATCCTGTGAAATCGAGAAGTACTGGCTCTCACTGATGTGTAGATGGAAAACCACACACCCCACCCGGAGGTAGAAGCCACCCATTGCCAGGTTGTCCCGAGGAGCCATGATTCCTCCAGGAGCTGGGGAAGGGCACAGTGATCAGTTTGTCAGAGGTAGGGGAAGATCGTGTAAGGAGAAGGGCTAGGAGAGGAGGAGCATGAGCTGGGCTCTGTATTTGGGCTTGGCAGGGATCAAGAGAAGGGACAGGGGCTGTTCGAGGGCGATGGTGAGGTACAAGGGGTGTCGGAGGTGGGGGCAAGGCCTGAAAAGTTCAGCTACATTAGATAAATTGTGCCAAAAATCACCGGTTGAGGTGACTGAAAGCTCTGAACTAGGGCTGGCCAAAATCCTCCTCCTCAGATGGGACCATCCCAAAAGTCTGCAGAAGCTCAGCCTCTGAGGTGAACGTTGTGGCCCAAACGTCTCTCTGCTCTGTACCTCACAGGATTCCCACCGGCTGTTCCAATCCAGGAGGAAAACTATGCCACCAAAGTCTCACAGCACCGGTGCAGTGACGTGCCACTTAAACCCGCTGTGATGCGCAGACCTTGTCCTGGCTGTCCGCACAGGGCTGAACTTCACCCCTTCAGAGTGTAAGGAAATAATTGGCTGAAGGGCTTTTTCTGGTCGGATGTGGTTCTGGTGGGAAAGAACCAGGGGCATTGTTAACCTGTATTGCACCCAGGACTCGTGCTTCAATGATGCCCAGAAGTGCTGATGCATTGGATTTTTTCCCCGCTTTTAATCTACTCTCTTCCTCTCTTTTAATGGGTATTCTAAGGGCACCCTGTGCTTCATGTGGGCATTCTTGGG